CCACAGAGCTACCTGAGTTGATTTCCGAGCAAAGCTACCTTCTCTTCAAACATTTTAAAATATCAAGAGCAAGTATAAAAGAATGGCTTAATAATAGTCTTAATACTATAGATGTTTTTAACCATCCTCAGTTGCTAGATTTTATTGCATGGATCAAAAACATATCTGTTGTAAATGATGGTGCAGAAAGAAACATTAAGCTCATTAAAGATTTTATTTCAGCTACTAGAGATGAAGATCACCTTGTGTACTTTTGTAGTTAAAAAGTCTAGAAAAAACTTGACTAAGACTATGACTAAAAAGGAGCTTGGGAACTGTTCAAAAAGTTGTATTTTTTGAGAAATGTTTCACCGCAATAAAATCTTAAATTTGCTAATAAATATTAGTTTTCATGTATTTTTTTGTATTTTCATATTTATAAATATAATCTATCAAGTTAAATAGTAGAAAACAATTGGAAATGATTTATACCCATCTAATTGTTTTGTTTTAATTTTCTAAAATGTGTTTTTTATTAATATTAAGCTAGCTTAACATTAAAACAGTAAAACTCAGATTTTACATCTAGCACTTCCTGTCAAAATAAAACTGTCAAATTTTTTTTAGTACTTATTTAGGTCACATAGAATGGGAATCAGTAGAGAGCTTTTTTTTTTTTTTTTTTTGGGACACCCTAATATATATTAAATATATATATATATATATATATATATATAATATATATATATATATATATATATATATATATATTAAATATATATAAACATTTATACATACAATTAGTGATTTTTATGGTAAAAACAAATTTTTTTAGCGACATTTATAGTGACAATTTTGCTAATTTTTAAAAGCAAATGTCACTTAAGTGTTAAAACCACAATATTTACTGAGTTACAATACATTTTATCATTTTAAAAAAAAACTGCAAAAATAGCAATTTTAGACTAATCTTTTATATTTTTTGATAGAGTTTTACACATATTGATTGATAAAGTAATGGATTGTACAAGTATTGAATGTTTGGGCTATCAATCATATAATTAAAAGAAGAAATTTTTTTTTTTAATTTTGGTCTTATTGCAGAAACTGGATTTCCAAATTTAGTTATAAAAGTTATATTTAGGGGTTGTGTAATAACCTTGAACATTAGATGTGTTCCTTATATTATCACCAAAAAAAAATTTCTTTAAAAAGGTGTCAATCTATGTTTCATACAAAGCAAAATTTTCTTAACTTTTATTTATCATAATTATTTTATAAAAACGCTGTTATTTATTTTGTTTTCGAAATTTATTGCATAAAACTGCAAAGGATTTTTAAAATAATCAATAATCATAAAATATTTTAGGAATTAATCAAAGGTGAAGTAAAATTGTCATCAGCGGACATTCTTCACCAGTTTTGGATCAAACAGAAATGTTTCAATCTTTATTTTTCTGACATATTGGATAGTATGTGGAAGTACAATCAAACTTATAGCTTACCTAGTTCTGGTAAACGTCGTCCAACTTGGTATGTCATGGATCCATATGGTTCTGCCCTTACTCATGCACGTGACCCAAATTTCAAGTGTGCTCCATTTTTTTATGTGCCAGATAACCAGTTTATTAACATATTTTGGCCTATAAAAGACATATCAAAAGGTATGAGGTGTACACGTGATTATGTCCCACCCCTTTTTTCTAACGAAAGTGCAGAAATTCAGCGTGTTCGATTAAAAGCATTTTTAGGAAAAAAACTGTCCTCTACGCAGTTAAGTCTTACTGAATCTGATAATCAAAATAAGGAAGAAAAGAACGAATACCAAAATGTAAAGTTAGTTTTACTTAATGACGTTAGTCGAACTCAAGTAGCTAGCAAAAAAATATTTGTAAGTGGTATGCAAATTACCAAAATAGAAAAACTAAACAAGATGTTGGATTTAAACATTTTAGTTAATGAGAAGGAAGCTGACATTAAAATTTTAACTCTTAGTGATACATTGATGGATTTGGGTGGAGATTTTGTTCGCTCTGTTGAGGTTTTTTCAAGCCGCGATTTTTTACAGAGTTATTTTCAGTATAGGTTTAATAAAAATAGTTGGCTGTTTAAAAGTATGATACTTCCGCGTGATTTGGTACTTTTTAATGAAGAATTTGAAAAATGTGATCTCCCTCAACATTGGATTATTAAACCATCTTCAAAAAAAACATTAGACATTTCTGTACATGTAACAAGCAAATTTTCTAGAATAGTTCGTATGTGCGAAGTTGGTCCCATAGCTGTGACTAAATGTAAGTAAATTTTACTATCAAATTATACAGTAAGTTTCGTCATATTTTCATGTCGTTGTTATACTTTAAAATATTCATTATATATATTTTTTCATTAAATATTTAACTTTAAAATATTCATTATATATATTTTTTCATTAAATATTTATTATATATATTTTTTGAATATTTTAATATGGCTTCCCTTTTTTTTATTACTTTGTACTAGTTGTATCAACACAACCTCTCTTTCGGAGTTGTCGTTTTGCTCTTCGTTATTATGTACTTCTTACCCACTCTTCTGCCTTTATTTGCACAATCCCATATATTCGATTGTCGGAAGATAAATGCAGTCAAAACGATTTTATTAATGAATACGACAATGCAGCAACTGTTACTGAATCGGCATTAATTCAAGATGACGATATATTTATTGAATTTAAAACAGCGATGAACAAATTGTTGTTACCAGTAAATCCTAAAAGAGGATGGAGTTATTTTGAAGAAAATTTGTTTAAAAAAATTGGTTATTTTAGTAAAATATTGTCTGGTGATTTAAAGTACAATGAAAATAGTCTGGTAATGTTTTCTGTCGACTTTATCATTGACGAAAATTTTGAAGCTCGAATGGTCGATATTGACGATGTTTATATCTCACCTGATCAAAAGGTCTTGCTCGGTGCATTTAATCTAGCTCTTGGTTATGATAGCGCTCAGTTTATTAAAGTTGAACTTAGTTAAAAATAGAAAAATTATAATTTAAATATTTTTGCATGTTTTTAAGCGGTTCAAAGTGCGATCCTGTCAGCCAAGCCATTTGCTTCGATTTAAAGTCATTTTAAGCATTAAAATGTCTTTTTTTCAATAAGTATGTCCGAAATTAATGGGAGTTTAAACTTTTTCGAATCTCAAAGTTATGTTTTTTTTTAAGTTGAAAACTCTCTAACTAGGTGACTTATAACTCAACCTAATTTTGAAAATTTATAAATCGTAGATTATGACGTTTTTGATATTCAGCCGGCAATTTTTGATTTTATTATTTACACCTAATTAAAACATGTACTACTAATTTTCCAACCTACTAAATCGTCTACTTTATTCTTGACCTATTGAGTTTTCGACTTGAATATTCAACCTACTTTATTTTCTATTTTATAACTACGCTTTTCCGGTGAGTATTTTGTATATTTTGTTGTTGATTTAAATACGAACCAAATTTGAGCAGCCTTCGCGCAGTGGTTGAAGCGCTGTCTTCAGAATCGAGAAGTATAAGGTTCGATGAATCCTTGGAAAATTTATTAATTGTTAATTTAAAAAAAAAAAAAAACTTTGTAGTTTATAAAAGTCTAAGTTAAAAACACAGACCAGATAATCGGTTAAAAATTAATTTATCTCAAATCGGTTGAAAATGAATCGGTCAAAAACGAAAACGTCATAAATCGGTTGAAAAAAAAAAAGATTATAATCAATTGAATCAATTCAGGCCTCAGTAGGTTATCTGAAAATTAGTTCCACTTTTTTGTAGATGTTTTCTTTGCAGAACAACTTTGTTGGTCAAGATTTTTGTATGTCTAACTATCTGACACGTCTAATTATACTTAAATGAAACTACTTTCAGAGTTGGAAATAAAAGGGTGGGTGGGAGTTTTCGTCTTACCCCCCCCCCCTCCTTTTTTTTTTATTTTTATTCTCACTTCTAAAAAAAAAATTAGTTCAAAAAAGCAAGAAATAACGTAAAACGTCTGTCAACACCACGCCCTGTGAAATGAATCTTTTCATGAATAAAAATTATTTATGAAAGCATAATATATTATGACTTAACGAGTGCCTTTTGTGTTTTTAAAATCCTTATTTTTTCCGTGTTTAAAAATTGCATTTGAACAGGTGAAAAAATTTTTTTGTATTCAAGATAGCACCCAGGCACGATGCAAACTCAAAATTATAATATGTTCATGATGGTGTCAAATAAGGAATTTTTTTTTTTTTTTTTCTCAAGAAAATAGTCTTTCTAAATGTAGATTGAGAAGCAAATATATTAGGATATTTTTGTAAAATTGGCGTGAAATGTTGCTGAATTTTATTATCTTAAATATTTAAAAAAAAAAAAAAAAAACCTTAAAAAATCCAACCTTAACCTCGGTGTTTGAACTCTAAAATTTAGCTCGGTCCAAATTAAAACATTTCAAAACTACTTTCAATTTATTCAAAAAACTATATACTCAACGTAGTTAGGGCGAGTTTGTAAAACTTAAATCGAAATTTTTTGTAAAAATCTAATCTTTGACAATCTGTAACTTAGGCGTGATTAAAAATGGAATTAAATAAATGAAAAAAAATTTTTGTTTCATTTTTTTTTTTACAACTACTTCTGCTTGTGTTCTAAAAAAATTTTTCAAAGATTTTTTTGTTTATACAGAATTTAATAGTTTTATAAAGCTATAGACCACCTAAAGGAGATATAAAAAAATTTTCAAGCTACTTGGAAGATATCTTTCTTAAAATTAATAGAGAACAAAAAAAACTATTCTGCATAGGTGATTTAAATATAGATTGTTTAAAATACAAAAAGAATGCGACCACCAAACTTTTTTTTGACAACATGTTTCAACATTGTATCTTTCCGATTATCAACAAACCTACGCGAATAACCCCGAATTCAATTTCCGCAATAGATAACATCTTGACAAATGCATTTCAAGATTCCTCTTTAAAAACAGGTATAGTTAAAACCGATATTTCGGATCACTTCCCAATTTACTTTTCTATAAATCAAGATACAAGAATAAACAACAATTCTAAAACCAAAATTTATATAAGAAAAACTAATAAAATTTCTATTCAAAAATTTAAAGACACACTATCAATAGTGAATTGGGATGAAGTATATAAAAAATGCAACCTTGAGGACACAAACTCCGCATATAATACATTTATCGATATTTTTTTTAATCATTATAATAGTTATTTCCCAATCGAAGAAAAAATAGTTAAAGAAAAATATTTGAACTGTCCATGGATTACTAGTGGAATTAAAAAATCCTCTAAAACAAAACAAAAACTCTACATAAAATATTTAAAAAACAGAAATGATGTCAACTTATCTATCTACAAGCAATACAAAAATCTCTTTGAAAAAATAAGGAAAAACTCTAAAAAAATATACTACTCAAAACTACTTCAAAATACCAATGGCGATATTAAAAAATCATGGAACATCATGAAAGAAATAATCGGGAAAAAAAATACCAAAACAAATACCTTACCTGATAGAATTGTTGTGGATGAAAAAGAATACAACGATAAAAGTTCTATAGCCGAACATTTCAACAGTTTCTTTGCAAACATCGGCCCTAACATGGCGTCCAAAATTCAATGCCCAAATACCTATTTTGAAACCTATCTTACAAATCAACAAAGCGAACTAAAATTCAATGGACTAGACTATGATGAACTCGAAGCTGCAAAAAATTCTCTAAAAATTAACAAAGCACCAGGGATTGATGAGATTTCTAGCAACGTAGTAATAAGTGTCTTCCCGGTGATACGCAAACCCATATTCGAAATTTTTAAATCTTCAATTACAACAGGAACTGTTCCAGACAAATTAAAAATTGCAAAAGTTGTACCAATATTTAAATCCGGAGAGCAATGCTCACTTAATAACTACAGACCCATCTCAATCCTTTCTGTCTTTTCTAAACTTCTAGAACGAATAGTTTACAATAAACTATATAAATACCTAACTATTAACAATATTTTGAACAAAAAACAATTCGGATTTCAAAAACAACATTCAACCGAACATGCGATTATAGATCTTGTAAATAAAATAAATGACTCTTTTGATAATAACAAATTTGTTCTAGGAATCTTTATTGATCTATCGAAAGCATTCGATACTGTTGATCATGCTATACTACTTAAAAAAATGGAAAAATATGGCATTAAAAATGTTGCTTTACATTGGTTTGAGAGCTTTCTTATAAACAGACAGCAATGTGTTATTATGGATAAAAATACCCATTCAAAATTACTTAAAATAAAATGCGGAGTTCCCCAAGGTTCCATTCTAGCTCCCCTACTCTTCTTGCTATACATCAATGATCTTCCAAAAGTCTCAAAAAAACTTGATGCCATAATGTTTGCAGATGATACAAACTTATTTTATTCATCTACTTCTATCGCAGAACTCTTCGAAACTGCAGGTATTGAACTTGAAAAACTTAATACTTGGTTTAAATCTAACAAATTATCATTGAGTACAGAAAAAACCAACTACATTCTATTTCACACCAATCAAAGGAAAAAATCTATACCAATTCCATTACCGTCTCTAAAAATAGAAAATAAATTTATCGAAAGAACCAAAGCAACAAAATTTTTAGGAATACTTATCGATGAGAATATTTCATGGAAAGCTCACATAAACTTATTAAATACCAAAATAAGAAACAACATTTGCATGCTTTACAAAGCTAGACCGATGCTACCCAAAAAAAATTTAAAGCTACTTTATTTCTCCTTCATTCAAACCTATTATACGTATGGTAATATAGCATGGGCAAGTACCCATAGATCCAACCTAGTGGCACTTTTTCGACATCAAAAACATGCTGCAAGAATAGTATTTAATAAAGATAAATTTACTCATGCCGAACCTTTGCTAAAGCTTTTAAATGCACTAAATGTCTACAAAATTAACATTTACCAAAATTTGATATTCATGCTCAAATATAAACTCGGACTTGTCCCATTACATTTTTCAGAAGAATTTTTTAAATGCAATAGAAATAAATATGAAACTCGAGGAATAGGAAATTTTAAAGTACCATATAAAAAAACAAAACTATCACGTTTCTCCATCTCGTATCGCGGCCCTTACCTCTACAACAAACTAATAGCTAAAAATACTATAATTACAAAACTACTTAACCATAATTCTCTGAAAACACTTTTAAAAAAACTTGTTCTAAACTTAAACAATTTTACAAACGTATATTAAAACAAATAACTAAAAACCCCTAAAAAATCCACTTTAAAGCAAAGTAAATGTTAGATTTTATTTATATTTTGTACATGTCAATATACTAAGTATAACAAACCATGTATCTATATATTTATGTGTATCAAATACAGCTCTTTTCCGTTTTTTGTTTTTGATTATCTAGTAGCTTTTTATGTGTGACTCTTATGCCACCATGAGACTTTGACAAACTGAAATTTCTTAATAAATTAAGTATACAAAATATCGCAACTAAAAGCGGTTTCTTGATGACAAGACCAAAATGGTCTTCTGCAAGTTTCCCGCGTCTTTTAACAGTGTTACTTTTTTATATATATTATTATTTGTATTAAAAAAAGTTTTCTTATTATATGTACGGTATTTTTTTTATACAATGTAAACAAACTAGTTTATATTTATGATCACGTATTTGTAAAGCTTTGATAAAAGACAAAAAAAAAAAAAAAAAAAAAAAAAAAAAAAAAAAAAAAGTCTCTTTAATCTTCTAAATTGTTTTAAATAAAATTAAAAAACTTTTTTATTTCGAACTTGTTAATTGATCAAAAGAGCTAGAACTTTTTTTTAAGTTTCACTTTTTCAAAACCATAAATTTTCTAATAAACACATGTTTTATTTTACTCAAAATTATATTGTTCTCCACTTAATAATCAAAAGTAAGCAAAAATGATAATGTTAGACTTGACTTTTTAAATATTTTATAAATGACTTGAACAGTTTCTTTAATTGTAAATTTTAAATTTA